CAGAGAAAATAAATAAGAATTAAAATTATAATATAGCTTTTTATAATATAATAAATTTCCAAAATAAATTTTAAAAATTTTGAATGAAAACGCGAGAGTGGGATATATATTATAAAATATAAGAGAGAGATTGAAAAGAAAAAATTAGAAAATAATATGCGAAAAATAAAAAGAATCAAAATTAGATTTTAATTTTTTAATGTAACAAAAAAGGTGGTTGAATTTGAAAAAATTTTATAAGATAAGATTTAGAGAGTGGATCGAAGAAAGATGGAAGGAAGATAGTATGAAATTATAAGATTAAGCTAGAAGGGAAAGTATGGTTATGAAAGGGAGACAAGATAAAAATTCAAAAAGAAAAATTTTGAAGATGATAGTAATCGTACATATATATACACGATGGCGAGAGAAGAAACAGAGAAAGTATACAAAGATAAAAATATATCGGTATAATTTTGTAATATTTCCATATACTGAATTTGATAATTGGAATTATCATAATTTATGGAACTCTGAATCTCGTTCCAATACAATAAAAACTGTGTAGCTGTAGCCTTTCGCTTAGAGATGGGGAAGCATCGTAAGACGATCGGGATCGTAAAACTGAAAGTCGCGAAACGATCAAGGGAAAAATGGGCATGCTGGCAAGACGATCGAGGATGAAAGTGAAATAGAAAACAAGCCGGGGTAAAGAGAAAGGGGGAGAAAACGAGGCGCACGCGATTTCGATGATCGAACCGGTGAACGCGATACCAGCCGCTGTTTCCTGCACGTCGTTGATTAGCAGCTGTTCGAACGTCTTAATTCATTCGTGACACCGAACACACGTTTCGTTCGCATAAATGAACGTTGCTTCCGACTGTTAAGCTGTTATATGGGCTAAAATGTGTTCCCAACGTGTAATCGAAGAACTTTAATAATCGTCTAGAAACGCTGCGAGATATCGAACAACTTCGATTGTATTCGTTTGGTATACATGGTTATTACACATGGAAATTTTAATTTACGTGTGTAATTTCATTAATATCCCGGAGTAGAAAGCCATTCTACAATCTAAGAAAATTTGAAAATTGTTTTATTTCTTTTTCAATAATATTATATCAATAATATTATATATCACGTGTATTATTAAATTGAAATTAACAAATAGGAATGATATGATTGTTTATTCTTCTTCGATGAAAAGACGTATATAATAAATAAACTGTCAATGTGCCAAAGAAAAAAAAGGGGAATTTCTTTATTCACAAATAAAATAAAATTTTATAAGTAGATTAAATCAAATGTGGAAAATCTTTCGTTCTGTTTGCTCAAATTATTCTTCAAATTTTTTAAATATAAAAAATTATCCGTCAATTAGTCGCTACTAATCTAATTATCAACAAATTCTCGTTCACCAGATATGCAAAGCGTCCTCGAGTCGAGAAGATCCATCGTGTCCGCTTGACATTCAGTATCATGATTTCTAATTTCCAATTACGACATGCATTCAGATCGTCGAGACCGAGTGCAATGCACGGGTCATTTGGAAAACTGTACGATCGTGTAAGCTGTAGCGATTACGAGAAGTCACGCGAGGGAAACAGCTATTTGT